CAGCCCAAAGGTTAGTCTTGTTGCTTATTGAGTACATTGGTTGGTTGTACCATACTACACTCTGCACTTCGTGTGCAGATCCAGGTACTTTCGGGCACAAAGGTTGCTAGTGTTGGAGCTTATTCAGTTTGGGGACTATCGAGGTAGCTGCCTTGGCGTCCGCAAACCTTGACGCTCCTCCTTTATTTTAGTTTTATTTGTACTATTCTAACTTTCTAGATAGTGTTTCAGCAATCAGACCATGTTAATTTATAGATGCTCCGCTACTCAGTGACACCCGAATTTTGGGGGATATTGTATTGAGTCGTGGTATTTACTTAAGGTGTTTATGAGATTTTTTCCGACCATATTAATCTATGTTTTCTAAACTTAAAGATGTGTGATTTTATTGTGATTGTGTCACGGACCAAAACTAACCCGTCGTGATGGCGCCTATCATAGTACTCGGCAAGCCGACTACTCAGACACGTTCAACACTTTAAACCTTTGAAAGATACCAAAAACAGTTTTAATAAAGGAGAAGTCTCTTTAAAATATGATAGGAAATCATATCTCAATACATAAACTCTCCCAAAAACCGGGGTGTCATCGAGTACATGAGCATCTACATAAAAACACAATTTGGTACACTGACTAGACAGTAACACTGGAAAATAAACTGAAAGACAAGGGAGGAGAGTCAAGGCCTGCGGACGCCAAGCAGCTACCTCGATGATCTCCAAAGGTCTGGTCTCTACAAATCAGCAACCGCCGTGACCAGAAACACCTAGATTTGCACATGAGGCACAGGGTGTAGCGTGAGTACAACCAACTCAATAAGTAACAAATCTAACCTCTAGACTGAAAGTAGAGACGAGCTCAGCAGGTACAGTTCAGTATAGAAATCACAGTACAGAAATGTAAGCATATTTTCAAGTTCAACAGATAAAAACTCAATACAAGTAAAATAGATCAACTCTGAATGATATGAGGGGTATGACATTTCTATATCTACATGCCACTATACATGCTGTATGTGGTACACTACAATGGAATCCCCGCGTACTCGCACTCTCAGAGTACTCAATTACTCAGTACTGCACAGGGGCAGGTCCAGCCCAGGGAAGATCTTCAATATAAATAGTAACCGACACCCAGTCAATCATTACTGTATAGGGCAATCCAACCTAGGGAACTCCATCCCAAATATAAATGTATAGGGCAACTCCATGCCCAGGGAACTCCATCCCAAATTGAATATTTATAGGGCAACTTCATGCCACGGAACTCCATCCAAATATAATATCTACTGCGCTCACTGTGGGGGTGCAGACTCCGGAGGAGCTCCTTCAGCCCAAGCGCTATAAGAAGCCAATCATGGCATGAAACAAAAAAACATGCTACGGCGTGCAGCCCGATCCCTTAATTATCACTCATAATCAAGCCCTGGGCCTCACTCAGTCATTAATCTCTCAAGTCTCTCGGACTCACAACGCTCGTACTAAGAAGCCCTAATCAATGATACACATGTAACAATGTACAATAATGGAGACTGAGATATGATATGAATGATGAATACAACTGAGTACATGACTGCAATTAAACAATTAACTCAACAGCAAGGAACGACCACTATGGGTCCCAAACCGTATATAGCCTAAACATGATTTCTAACAAAAATTACAGCTCAAGTGCTCTAACACATGGAGTAAGGTAAAAGTGTTTAGTTAAGGTAGCTACAAAATTTCATCAAATCGAGTAATTCACAATTTACATGGTGTACGCCCACACGCTCGTCACCTAGCATGCGCGTCACCTCAGCATCAATCGCATAACACGTAATTCGGGGTTTCATACCCCCAGAACCAAGTTTAGAAGTGTTACTTACCTCAAGCTGTGCAAATCCCTACTCCGACAAGCCCTTGCCTCGCGAAACGACCTCCAAATGCGTCGAATCTAGCCACAAACTGTTCAATACAATCAACACGAGCTAAAGAAATCAATTCCATAAGAAAATATTAAGCTCTTAATCAAAAGTCAAAAAGTCAACTCAAAAGTTGGCCCCCGGACCCACGTCTTGAAATCGCGTAAAAGTTACCAAATCCGAAAGCCCATTCAACCACAAGTCCAATCATACCAAATTTATCAAAATCCGATACCAAATCGGCACCCAAACTCCCAATTTAAACTCTCCAAATCCCTAGCCTCAAACTCCCAAAATTGCACCTCAAAACCACGCAATCTAGGTGGGAAATTCAATGGGGAAATATAATTATTGAATAAATTTAACCACAAGTGACTTACCTCAAGAAACCCCTCGAAAATCCTATAGAAAATCGCCTAATCCCGAGCTTGGAATGTTCAAAATGAAGAAAATCGCGGAATCCTCGTCTTTAATATTCTGCCCAGACTTTCCGCACTTGCGGCAACTTAACCGCATTTGCTGTGTCGCAGAAGCGACAAGCCTTCCGCTGCTGCGGTGAACCACTGGGACATGAGCTCGCACCTGCGGAAAATACTCCGCTTTTGCGATACCGCAGGTGCGACCACCTTCCCGCACCTGCGTTGACCCTCCGCTTCTGCGCTCGACCCTTCCGCATCTGCGACCACGCAGGTGCGGAAAATCCTTCGCACTTGCGACCATAGCCTTCCTCACCCCTGGCCGCATCTGCACAACATAGCTCGCACCTGCGAGCTTGCATCTGCGATCAAAGCTCCGCAAGTGCAATTGCACCAGAAGCCCCAGCTTCAGCAATCTTCCACACTCCAAATTCGATCCGTTAACTATCCGAAATTCACCCGAGGCCCACGGGACCTCAACCAAACATACCAACAAGTCCCGAAATATCATACGAACTTAGTCGAGCCTTCAAATCACATCAAACCACGCTAAAACCATGAATCACACCTCGATTCAAGCCTAATAAACTTTTGAACTTCTAACTTCTACATTCGATGCCGAAACCCATCAAATCACGTCCGATTGACCTCAAATTTTGCACAGAAGTCACAAATGACACCATAGACCCACTCCAACTTTTATAATCCCAATCCGATCCCGATAACCATAAAGTCCACTCTCGGTCAAACTTATAAATTTCCAACTTCTACCATTTCAAGCTTAATTCAACTACGGACCTCCAAATCACAATCCGAACATACTCCTAAGTCCAAAATCACACGACGGAGCTAACGGAACCATCAAAACTCCATTCCGGATTTGTTTACACATAAGTCAACATCCCGTCAACCATTTCAACTTAAGCTTTCAACCTTGAGACTTAGTGTCTCAACTCATTCCGAAACCTCTCCGGGCCTGAACCAACTACCCCGGCAAGTCACATAACAACTGTAAAGCATAAAATGGAAAGTAACGGGGGCTATAAATCTCAAAATGACCCGCCAGGTTGTTACAGATTGTCGGCTTGCCTAGTATTGCAATAGACGCCATCACGACATGTAAAATATGGGTCGTGACAATTAATCTTTGGTTTTCCCTCAAAACCATTATCAGCACTCTTTATATCCTCTTTTTAGTATAAAGAATTAGACGTCCGATAAAAATAATTCATATATTACAATTCCCCCATAACTAATTTTTGCATTGGTAACTACTAGAATTTGACAGTTTTCTGATTGAAAAATTCCGACCGTTTCGGTTGGAAAATAAAAAAAATAATATTAATTTTTTTTTTCAATATTTCAACCATACTCTGACATAGTTGGTCGCAAGGTTTTGGCGGAAAAACCCTGGAAATTTATTTGCGACCGATTCAGTCGGTAATTAAAAGTCAAACTTATTGCCTTTGACTACATTAATGTTTTCGACGGATTCCGTCGGAAATTTCAAATTAATTTTTTCTAAGTTACCGACTGATTTGGTCGGAAAATTTTTAAATATTTAAATAATTTTTTTCAAGTAAACTACCGACCAAAGTGGTTGAAAAAAATGCGCTTACCAAAATTAAATTTATTTTCGACACAATCGGTTGGAAAATTTAATTATATCCCCAGCCCGACCCCTTTCTTCGATTTTCTCTCTTTCTCTTTTATTTCGCTTCTTTCCCCCTTCACTCCCTTCGCTCACCAAATCCACCGTCGCCGTCGACTTCAAATCCGGCGGTGCCACTCTTTCTCCCTCTCTCCCTCATCCCTGTCACGCGCGACAGCCCTTATTTTTAGCCCCCATTTTTTCCCCAGGTATTGTCTACTTGTCTCCGGTAGCATGAGTCTTCTCCGACGACTAGCATCTTCTCCAGCGAGGTAATTTATTCCTTCATCCTTTCTGCGACCTTGATTGTAATATATTGTTCTTTTTGTTTGTATTGTCACTAATTAATTTTAGAAATTTTAGTTTGAATGTGGAAATATTTGAATTGAAATTAGGGTTGACATAAAAAATAAATTATTCTTTAAGCTTGAAAAAATATTATTTAGAGCCTTGAGTAATATTAAAATTTATCTTCTTTTGAATAAAAAATTAAAATTAGGAGTAATCTTTTTTTTGAATAAAAAATTACGTTTGAAATAAAGAATAATTTATTCTTTTATCTTCTTCTTCTTCAATAGGAGTACTCTTCAATTTATATTGTAATTTATATATGGTATAGAATTAGGAATAAAACTATCGAATCTTGAATTTATTCTTATATTGTAATGTATATATGTTATTCAATTAATATTAAGTAGTGTTTTGAATAATTATAGCATTAATTTTGATTCTCTTTGCAAAGAGATCCAATTGTATTTTATATTATCTATGTGATGTAGCTAGTATAACTTTAACAAAAGTGAAGTAAATATATAAAATAATTGTAACATTAAAGTTTATTAAATATAATAAATTCATTATTTTGAAATTGCATTAAGTTTTAGGTTGCTTGAATAAATTCATTGGTTTAAAATATCAAATTACACTAAAATATATAAACTATTTAGATAAGTAACCTTTGAAGAATAAAATTTATTGATTACGGTAAATAACAAAAATATTTTAACTTCTAATTTTCTTCTATATGTAGATGAAATTTGGGCATCGTAGATGGATGTATGATAGGAATCATCCGAATCGTACGGGGTTGCGGGATGAATTTATAGAAGGTGTTGCTAGCTTTATTGCCAAGGCAAAGGCACTTGATGATTTCCTTATCGAAGAGACGATTAGGTGCTCCTGTGTGAAATGCAAGTGTCTTAAGTTATTGGAGCCCAATATTGTTATTTTTCATTTGTATAAGAATGGATTTGTAAAAAATTACTATGTGTGGACTGTGCATGGGGAGAGTCTTGCTAGTGTAGATGATGTTCATTTTCAGAACTCATCAGGTGGTGAAGAAGGTAGTTCCATAGCGGAGAATATTAATATCGAAAATTCTAGATTTAATGAAATGATAAGGGATGCTTTTGAGATGTTCCATGGGGCTCAATCCGAACCAAATGATGAGGCTAAGAGCTTTTTCACGCAGTTAGAGAAAGCTATTTGTCCGCTTTATGAAGCCACAACAAATTTCAAGTTGTCTGTTGCAGTTAGATTACTAAGTAATAAATTAGATAATTCTATTTCTCAAGCGGGGATGGATTCTATCATTGACCTTATGAATGAACTTAATCCGACCAAGATTAACTTGCCTAAAGATTTTTACACGGTAAAGAAATTGGTTTTTAAGTTGGATCTTTCATCGGAGAGGATTGATTGTTGTGAGAAAGGTTGCATGTTATTCTATAAGGATCATGAAGCTTTAGAAAATTACAAATTGTGTAACCAGCCGCGTTACAAAGAAGTCACAAATTCTAAACAGAAGAAGGTTCCAGTGAAGGCGATGCACTACTTACCCCTTATACCAAGGTTAAAAAGGTTGCATGCATCATTGAGTTTTGCTCCTCATATGAGATGAAATTATGAACATAGAAGGCCAGATTATAACGACCCGACTAGTCGTTTTGAGAGTATGATCCTCGATCCCCTATTTATTTCGTCCTTTATTTTATTTTATGGTTACTTGACTTTCCGGGGTGCTTGGTGTCGGGTTCGGGTGAGCCCTGGAGTGGAATGAGACACATAGTCCCTAAGTTTGAAGTTTAAGTTGTAAGAGTTGACCGTGGTTACTCCGCAAGTAAGAATTGTGCGGCCGCAGAATCCCAGCTTCTACAAGATGAAGATTTCTGTGGACCACACATGGAATTGTGCGGCCGCAGAAGCTCCCGAGGGGCATTTTTGTCCGAAATTGTCAACCTTGTATAAATAGAAGAGTTTCTCGAAATTAGGTCAATTTTTGAATATTTTAAGTACTGTAGTCGTTTCTCTTTGCTTCTTTAGGAAACTTTAGCTTATTGTGGTGATTTAACATTAGATTTCTCTATTTTAATCTTCCAATATGAGTTTTATTATCTTTTCTTCTTTGTTTTCTTCTACACCCATTATGAGTAGCTAGATTTTTACTAAGGTATTGACCCAACCCTAGCGTGTAAACCTTATGGGTGGTTAATTTTATGCTTGTTTATGAATGAGTGTTTATTATTTAACATAGTTCATGCTTCAATTTTAGAATTAATGGTTGCAAACATTGATTCATGCCTATTTGACTTAGTTTCTTCTTGATAAAGAGGGACCTAGTGTATGTTAACTTAGCTAACAAGGATTTGGGTCAATTGAGAGATTGATTAACCTAATTAAAGGGTTCAATCTAGAGATAGTAACAACCCGAATTGAGCTCTTATCAACCGTTTTGGTAGATACCTATTTGGTCTTGCGAAAGCCAAAATTGGGCAAAATCACTATTTGACCGAGAGGTATTTAGTGGGCAACATAGCGTTGTGAGCTATAATACAACCCAATCAATAAAACAACATAAAAGTCTTTATACCATTAGGCAAACACCTAGGTCATGGTCACATCCCTAGGCTTTTTATATATTTGGAAAACACTCAAAAATAATCATCTCTAGTTTTATATCTTAGATTTACGGTCATTAGCTTAACTTTAGGAGTAGAAACAAAAACCTATTTGTGGAAGTGCAATCTAGATACTTCACTTGCTCATTCCGGATATATACTCCTAACTCTTATCTTAGCTCCTTGTGGATTCGACCCCGACCTTTGTTAAGTTTTATTATTGCAAACGACCGTGTCATACCTCTTAAGAGGCGTGCATTTGGACGTGATCACTGTCCCCGGATGGAACAATACGCTAAGACATATATTCAGAAATACGATAAATGTCAACGCCATGCACCGTTGGTGCATCAACCAGTGGAATTATTGCACTCACTTTTGTCACCATGGTCATTCATGAAACGGGGGATGGACATACTCGGTCCGCTACTGCCAGTTGCCGTTAAGGTAAGATTTCTTTTGATTTTAACTGACCACTTTTCTAAGTGGGTTCAAGCAGGTCCTTACCAGAAAATCGGCTAGCGCGAAGTGGTCAATTTCCTGTAAGAGAATATAATTTTTAGGTGTAACGACCTGGCCGGTCATTTCATGAGTTATACCCCCGTTTTCCCCATTCCTGCTTCCTTATGTGTTGTTCAGATGTATTTCATCGTATCGTGTTGGTTGTTTTGTGTTCGGAGTGGTCTTGGAGTGGAATGAGACACTTAGTCTCTTATTTAGAAGCTTAAGTTGGAAAAAGGTCAACTGGATGTTGACTTATGCGTAGAAGGTCTCGGATGTGAATTCTGATAGTTCGATTGGTTCCGTTAGGTGATTTTGGACTTAGGAGCATGTTCGGAATGTAATTTGGAGGTCCGTGGTAGAATTAGGCTTGAATTGGCAAAATTGAAAATTTGGCATTTTTCGGTCGGCAGTCTAAATCTTGATATCGGGGTCGGAATAGAATTTTGGAAATTAGAGTAGGTCCGTTATGTCATTTGCGACGTGTGTGCAAAATTTTAGGTCATTCGGGTGAGGTTTGATAGGTTTCGGCATCGTTGGCGAAATTAGGAAGTTTGGAAATCCTTAGGTTTGAATCCGAGGGTGAGTTGGTGTTTTGATGTTGTTTCGAGCGTTCCAAAGGTTTGAATAAGTTTGAATGGTGATATGTGACTTGTTGGCATGTTTGGTTGAGGTCCCGAAGGTCTCAGGTTGATTTCGGGAGGTTGTCGGATCAAGGATGGGATTTGAGGAAGTGCTGAAGAATTTCCTTCAGCTGTCATAACCGCACCTGCAGAGTGGGGGCCGCAGGTGCGAGGCCCGCAGAAGTGCATAAGCAGCCGCAGATGCGGCCATAGAGGAGAAGGGCAGGAGCCGCAGGTGCGCGCATGGGACCGCACCTGCATGATCGCAGACGCGAGACTTTGACCGCATAAGCGAGTTTCGAGGTTTAAGTGAAAACCACACCTGAGGCGGATTTTCTGCAGGTGCGGCATCGTAGAAGAGACTTATGGACCGCAGATGCGGAAGTTCTGGGTAGAAAGTATATAAGGTCTCCTTCGCGAATTCCAGTTCATTTTCTACCATTTTTGGACGACACTGGAGCTTTCGAGGGCGATTTTGAGGAGGAATTTAGGGGTCTATCAGCAAGGTGAGTGGCTTGAGCCCTAATACTTGTATATGTGATGATTTCCCGTTGATTAATCATGAAATTTGTAGAAATTAGGGATGAAATTGGGGGAAGTAGGGCTTGAAATTGGAGAGTTAAATTTGAGGATTTGAGGGACCATTTGGGGCCGGATTATGATGGTTCTTGTATGTATAGACTCGTGAGTGAAAGGAGTTTCTAGTTTTGTAATTTTTATCGGATTTCGAGACGTGGGCCCGGGGGCCGGGTTTGAGTCCAATTCGGGATTTTTGGTCTAATTTGATAATTTTCGTGTGGAATTCATTCCTTTAGCGTATATTGATGATGATATACTGATTTTGGTTAGATTCGGAGCATTTGGAGGCCGAGTAGAGAGGCAAGGGCATTGCGGGTTAGAGTTTTATCCGGTTTGAGGCAAGTAATGACTGTAAATCTTGTCATGAGGGTATGAAACCCCGGATTTCACATCGTTTCACTATTTTAAGGTGACGCGCATGCTAGATGACGAGCATGAGGGCGTGCACCATTGGGGATTGTGACCTGGTCCGTCCCGTAGCAACAATTAAGTTACGTATTTGACTTAAAACTATTTGAGACTTATGTGCTTAGGAAAGCATTACTATGTTTTGGGCCTCGTGCCATATTTGGGCCTCGTGCCAAGCTGTTTGGATCCTTAGGGGCTTTTTACTACTGTTTCCTCACTGTTTTGATTTAAGATCTGTACTCAGTATGCTATGTTTTACTGATTTCATAACTCAGTCTTATTTACTCCGTTTTGATGCATAAAATGATATTTTGGGCTAAGCACCCTGTTTTACTGTTACCCGAGTGGCTTGAGAGGTTTCTAACTGAGTGAGGCCGAGGGCATGTGTCGTGAGGATATTGTGGGATCGGGCTGCGTGCCGCAGCATATTGTTACTGATTTCTGATCTTGAGAGGCCGAGGGCCTGATTTATTATGCCACGAGGTGGCTTGTTATAGCGCTTGGGCTGTAGGAGCCCCTCCAGAGTATGTACACCCCAATGAGCATGGGTACCCTGAGTGAGTGATATAATGTTGCCCGAGGGGCTATTCTTGATTCATGTTGTGCACGAGGGGCTGATTACGAGCGATTGTGAGGTTTCCCGAGGGGCTGATTCTGAGAGATGTTATGCCCGAGGGGCGGTTTATGATACATGTTTTGCCCGAGGGGCTGTTTATAATTTTCATCACTTTTACTCTAAACTTCATTGAACCTCTGTTGAAATTGTTGGAAAAATATCTTCAAATGTTTTTTACTGAGATTGGATTTTAACGAGATGATTTTATTTATATACTGTTTGAAAGCATACTGTACTTACTGTGATTTTATGATGTGGATTTATGTGTTTCCTACTGCTCATTCTTTATTTATCTTTATTACTTATTGAAATGGGGTACTCACATTACTCTCTGCACCTTGTGTGCAGATCCAGGGGTTGCTGGACGTGATAGCGAGCGTTGATCTTTCATCCGTCGCGGATATTCGGAGTCGGCAAGGTAGCTGCATGGCGATCGCAGCCTTGCTCTTCTCCTTCTTATCTTCCTTAGAAGATATTAGTGTTTTCCAGACTGTAATAGTCCTAGTTGTTATCGGATAGACCTTAGTAGATGCTCGTGATTTGTTCTTTCTGCACTTGTTATTTAGACTTATGCTGTGAAGTTTTATTAATTAGTAGCTTAAACATCTTTATTATGAAATGTCGATTTGTTTTGGGATTGTGTCGGCTGGCCTAGTTCCATGATAGGTGCCATCACGACCAGGTTGGATTTTGGGGTCGTGACATCAGGTTTAGGATACCAAAAGAGATAGTTTGCGAGAACGGGACACAATTTATAAGTGTAAAGGTCACGAAATTCTTTGAAGACTTGAAAATCAAAAGAATCACATTATCGCCATACCACCCGAGAGCAAATGACCAAGCGGAATCAACGAACAAAGTGATTATTCAAATCTCAAAAAGAGATTGGAAGCAGCCAAAGGCAAATGACCCGAAGAGTTACTAGGAGTTCTATGGGCATACCGAACGACGGCCAAGTCAAGCACGGGAGAGACATCTTTCTCTCTCGTGTACGGAGCAGAAGCCCTGATCCCGGTGAAAGTGGGAGAACCTACCATAAGATCCTTCTTGGTAGACGAAGAAGCAAACAACGAAGCATTGTTGGTCAGATTGGACCTGCTCGAGGAACACAGGGACTTGGCGCATATAAGGATAGTGTCCCAGAAACAAAGAATGGAAAGACACTACAATCGAAGGGCAAATCTCCGTTATTTCAAAGTAGGAGACTTGATTTTAAGGAAAGTAACTCAAAACACCAGGGAGCTCAACGTAGGAAAGCTGGGTCCAACGTGGGAAG